ATGGCAAGACAGTGGCTACTAGAAATGCCAGACGTTCTGAGCCAACATTTTGGTTGCTAAGCAGGAGCGTTGTTAAGTGATACTGATATTATATAACACTTTTAATTAAGCGGGTACCTTGAATAAACATAACTTTGAGTTTCAAATAATACTGATTTTGTTGTTGTCTTAGGTGACATATGTGAAAAAAATTCAGGTGCTCAGGCATGAAAATATGCCGCTCAGACACTATACTTTTCTGCTCACACTGAAAAAAAATTAGAGGGAACATTGCTGTGGATCCACCTCCGGGAGGCGAGGAAAGGCTGATCGCAGCCTGGGCAAAAATGGATTTCTTTATTTTTCTCTTCTTGCCTTTAGTGCTCTTTCGGCTTCATTTACGAATCGGAGCAGCTGGAAGCCAAATGCCCACAATGCCGGAAATGTTTCTGTGTCCTTTGCAAGCGCCAGGTTGGTAAACCTTCAGGGCGGAGATATTTGTCTGAAACGGTACAGGGGGTCCTACCGGAAAGACCTCTGTAGCTTGGAGAGGGGGGAAAACGGGCCTATTGTGCCCACCGGAAGTCGGGAAACACACCGCTTCCAGCCTCCGCTGGAAGTCACTGGAGCCCAGGGAGGGCAAAAAACGGGCCTACCAGAAGCCAGAAAACGGGCCTCTGGAGGCTTCAGGGAGGTCCGCTAGGCCCAACAGGGGGCGGGGTGGTGGTGTTCTTTCCCCCCTCTCCCCCCCCCCCGCTCGGGACCCATGTTTGGTCCCAGGAGGCTTTAGGGTGCTATGGGGTGTGGGGGGCGTGTATGTGTGAATATGTGGGGGCAGCGCGGGGGGTGTTGCGCGCATGCACAGGGGGATGGGATGCATTGCATTGTGGGTGTGAGGACGCGAGGACAAAACGTTTAGCTATCACTAGCATTCTGCCTTAGCAGCGAGTTGGACTAAAAGGTCCCTTCCTGTTTTGGTCTCCTATCCTATATTTAATCTGAGTCGCTAGAACACTCAAATGATGAACAATAAGTCAGTACACAACAGTTACTGAAATTTATTTTTATATACTCTATTTTTTGGAGTGTAAGACGCACCAGAGTATAAGGCGCACCAAGATTTTGAAGAGGCAAACTAAAAAAAAAAGAAGTTTTTGTACTCTGCAGACCTCCCAGAAAAGGGCCCATTTTTTGCGATAACGGGCCCATTTTGTTTTTCAAAAAAAAAAGGGCATGAATAGCCTTTAGGAGGCTTGTAGAGTGCTCCTGGGGGCTGGGGGGGGGCAAAAAAGTGCAAAAATTGGCCCTTTTTTGCAAAAATTGGCCTGGTTTTTTTGTCAAAAAAAGGGCATGCATAGCTTTTAGGAGACTTATAAAGTGCTCCTGGGGCTGGGGGGGGGCAAAATTGAGCAAAATACAGCCTATTTTTCACTCATTTCTGCCCTCCCCAGCTGCCAGGAGCACTCTGAAAGCCTCCTAAAGGCTATGCACAACCATTTTTGTAAAGGGGGCAGGAATTTCAGGAGGCAAAAGAATGCTGTATTCAGTATATAAGACGCACCCAGATTTTCAGCCTCTTTTTTGGGTGGAAAAGGTGCGTCTTATACTCCGAAAAATACGTTGGTAGTTGGGCTTTCAGCCTCCTCTCCAAGCTTGCCAATTTGGGTTGCAAACGTTTCATCACGTTCGAGGAGACATTGTCAGTTCATTTTGAAGTGGGCTTCTCCGTCTGACAAGACGAGCCCACTTCGAAGCACGCTGACAATGTCTCCTCGAACGGTGATGAAACATTTGCAACCACATCGCCCGGCTCAGAACGCAGGCTGACAGCCCACACAACGGTGATAGCGGATTGCTTGGAAAGAGCTAGCGCCTCCCTGGGGCAAATCTAAGCGTCTGCTTGTTTGGGGTTGCTTGACATCTTCTGTTGGGGACCAAGGATGGAAGGCTAAAAAAAGGTGTCTTTTTTTCCTTCGGCGACGACAGTGGGAGCCACAGCATCAGGGCATCACCTGCGAAGCCTTCCTGGAATGGAAGCGAACCAACGACCCCGAATACCAGGCGCAAGGCTTGGCGATGTATCTCCAGGAGAATGGCATCGGTGAGGGTTTTGTCTCAATTGAGCCAACCAGGTTTTCTACGCTAAGCTGGGAGTTGGATTTTGAGGCTCCCACTTCTGTTGTGGCAGCAGATTCGGACAGTGAGGAGGTTGGGAAGGAACATGGGCCAGTCCTGGAGTCTGGGGAAGGCTCTGATGAGGGCTCTGCGTCGGAGGCAGAGAGGGAGCCAGGGCCGCCTGACAGTTATCAGCTGCCTTCAGAGTCACACATCATTGTGACAGAAGAACAGCTGGAGCCTGCTCCCAGTGTGCGCATGCACAGAGCTGCCAGACGAAAGGAACAGCTAAGGAACGGTCGACTTGGGAGTAAGGCCACTGGTGGACGGTGAATGGCCCCTCCCAGAGGGAATAAAAAAGGGGTTTATCGGGACGAGGACTCAGCTTCGTACTACTAGGGAAACCTAGGCCAGAACAACTTCCTATCCTCAATTCTTGGGAGTGTCTCCTTAACTCCTTGTTTGGGCAGAGGGGTTGGACTAGAAGACCTCCAAGGTCCCTTCCAGCCCTATCATTCTGTGAGAAACAGTGTTGTTTGGTGGTTAAGGCAGCATTTTAGAAAGCAGGAGGTGGTGAGGTCTAGTCCGCCTTAGTCGTGAAATCCAGCTGGGTGACTTAGGGCCAATCACCAGGAGACAGTGAGTTCTAGTCCCACCTTAGGGCATGAAAGCCAACTGGGTGACTTAGGGCCAATCACCAGGAGATGGTGAGTTCTAGTCCCACTTTTGGCACCAAAACTGACTGAGTAACTTTGGGCCCATCACCAGGAGGGGGAGAGTTCTAGTCCCATCTTAGGACATGAAAGCCAGCTAGGTGACTTAGGGCCCGTCACCCAGAGACGGTGAATTCTAGTCCCACCTTACGGCATGAAAACTGGCTGGGTGACTTTGGGCCAATCACCAGGAGACGGGGAGTTCTAGTCTCGCCTCAGCTGTGAAATCCAGCTGGTTGACTTTGGGCCAGCCCCTCTCTCTCTCTCTCTCAGGTCAATCTACCTCACAAGGTTGTTGTTAGGGGGAAAATAGGAGGAGGAAAATGCATTGGTTATGTTTTTTACCTTATTTGTTGTTGTTTTTTTCATGTTGTTTGTTTATTGGATTTATATGCCGCCCTTCTCCCAAGGACTCAGGCCGGCGTACAACATTTTAAAAAACCACACATATTACAAAAGTTTAAAAAAATTAAATAGAATATCCAAAACAAAGCCAATTAAAATTAACAATAACATTTTTTTTAAAAATTGATTAAAACTAACAAGGAACAATAATTTATTTTGTTTTGTTCAGGCCAGGCTGGCTTGCTGGAAAAGCCAACTTTTTAGGGCGCATCG